CACAAAGCTGGGAGACCAGGGGCACTAAAGAGACAAAACTCACCCGACACACAGCTGGGAGACCAGGGGACACTAAAGAGTGACACACAAGCTGGGAGACCAGGGGACACTAACAAGTGACGCACACAGCTGGGAGACCAGGGGACACTAAAGAGTGAAGCACACAGCTGGGAGACCAGGGGACACTAAAGAGTGACGCACACAGCTGGGAGACCAGGGGACACTAAAGAGTGACGCACACAGCTGGGAGACCAGGGGACACTAAAGAGTGACGCACACAGCTGGGAGACCAGGGGACACTAAAGAGTGACGCACACAGCTGGGAGACCAGGGGACACTAAAGAGTGACGCACACAGCTGGGAGACCAGGGGACACTAAAGAGTGACGCACACAGCTGGGAGACCAGGGGACACTAAAGAGTGACGCACACAGCTGGGAGACCAGGGGACACTAAAGAGTGACGCACACAGCTGGGAGACCAGGGGACACTAAAGAGTGACACACACAGCTGGGAGACCAGGGGACACTAAAGAGTGATGCACACAGCTGGGAGACCAGGGGACACTAAAGAGTGACGCACACAGCTGGGAGACCAGGGGACACTAAAGAGTGACGCACACAGCTGGGAGACCAGGGGACACTAAAGAGTGACGCACACAGCTGGGAGACCAGGGGACACTAAAGAGTGACGCACACAGCTGGAACCGTTGACCAAAAGAAATGTGACAAAAAAAGTTTTTAAAAAAAAGTTGAAAAAAGAAAGTTGAGTAAAAAGCTACGTTAGCTAGCTAGCTTACAGCAGATCTGCAGTGACATCAGAAGGGGTCATGTGATCACATTGTTAAAACAAGACCATCAAACGTACATTTCAGGTACGTTTCCAACAACAGTATTAAGTTGGTGAATGTTTTATAAAAGCTGTGTTTTGGCACATTTGTGTTTTTGTATTTGCATCGTTTCTGAAGCTGCAGCGTGTTTCTCCGAATGGAAATGTTTTGGATCGTTGTAGAGTGTTTGCACCTATCGGCCACTGAACCATCAGCTAAATCAAATCTGATGTTTTCCTGGATGTAACACAAACAGCCTCTCAATTTACCCACACTTTTGCTCATATTTGTCGATAAAACAACAAGTCCACACTGACTGTGTTTCTCTCACTCTCAGCCACAGGGCGAGCTCCTTTTTTTTTCTTTTTTAAACAGAGACACCACTTGACGTTTCACATCGGCTAAACGACACGAATCCACCGGCACAAAACGGCACCACCAGGGGTCAATGAGATGGAGGACAGGTCAAAAGGTCATGTGACAACACTTGATGAAACAGAGCGAAGAACGGCCCGCTGTTGACGGTAATAATATTATTAGGCAAACAACAGCTACGCGTTACACAACATAAATATTCATATGTTGATTTATACTCACACCACATTAACACAGCTTGACATATTTATGCCATTTCCTTTCAACAAAGGCTTTGGCGTACGACTTTGAAAGCATTTACATTTCTCTCATCTGAGCAGCTTTTAACCTCTGGACGCAGCACAAAAACAGATGAACTTCCTCTATAGTTGAAGCTAGGTTAAATTTGGCAGTTATTGAACTTCCTACATATAGCACACCTTAAACACCATTGCTGCCATCTCTCACACACATGTGTTGCTCTGGATGAAACTAGAAGTAAGAGACAAACATGAAGGCCCGTCTGCGTAATAAGTAGCTTACAGATGTTGGAGCTTTAAAGAAGACAACCTTGTACGGACGTCCAAGGCACGCTGAAGTACTTAAAAGCTATTTAAAAAAAAGCCTTTAAAATGATATGTCAGATATGTCTAGGAAAATGCTTTAAACTAAGATTAATGCGGCTCAATGGGAGCGTTGATCAGGGCACCGGGGGGCCAACGTTAATAAGCTACTTACTGTATGGCTAAAAAAACTGCCTCATTTGTTGCTTTTAATGAATATTGCACATTTCTAAGATGTTGTGCTTCTGTACGTGGAATATAAACTACCCACTAATGGCTCGTTCATGTTATTTACCTTAAATAAATAAGGACATTTCCCAAAACACGCATATGGCCTCCAAACATGAGCTTATTTTTTTCCTTGTGTTCTTGCAGCTTGTCGAAGGTGCATGTGTTCATCAGTGAAATCATCTGCTGTGTGTTTGGGAGCTAGGATAACACACACACACACACACACACACACACACACACACACACACACACACACACACACACACACACACACACACACACACACACACACACACTGCTGCAGATTCCTATTGTGTTATAACTGGTCACGTGAGGCACAGGGAGTGAGGGCTGTTAGGGGAATCAGGGAGTAAAGGATTTAATATGTAGATGAATATTTCTCAGAGGTGGAGCTGCTCTAAAGGTGGAAATAATCCCACTGGATGAATCTAAATGAGAAGAGCCAAATAGTAAGTCTTTCTGAGGGCAAGTTTCAAGCTGCAGGTCAACAGGAAAGCTAACAAAACTAGCCTACCTCAAAGACGCTATGGTAAGACTAGATCTAGGTTTCGTAATCTTTACTTTTTATTCTCTGCAGGGCGTCTAACTCACTTTGCACAGATAGAAAAACTAGCTTTCAGAGTGCAGGTTTCAATTAAAATGAGGATGACATTGCTAATTTATCTGAGCTAACTTAACTAGCCTACCTCAATGACGCTTAGCAAGAGTGTCTTTCCTGTTCGTAGGACAAGCTCCATATTTGACCATCTTTTCTTTCTTTTTTCTGCAGGTGTCTAACTTTGCACAGATAGAAAGATCTACCTTTCACAGTGCAAGTCTAAATAAAAATAAGGATGACATTGTTAACTCAGCTGAAGGCAAACAGGAAAGCTAACTGAACTAGCCTACCTCAAAGATGCTATGGTAAGAATTCATTATCTTCCTGTCAGTCAGACTAGATCTAGGTATCATAATCTTTCCTTTTGATTTTCTGCAGGGCGTCTAACTAACTTTGCACAGCTGCAATTTTCAATACAAATTTGAACTGAACTCGCTCAACTTGATGACCCTTTTTACTTCAAGACTAGCTCCAGATTACACCATGTTTTTATTATCTTTCCTGCAGGGACTGTGTCTAACTTTGCGCAGCTAGAAAAACTTGTATTATTATGTGGCTCGGCTCCACTAAAGCAGTAAGACAATGTCCACCCTGCACAGCAGCTCTGCCTCTGAGAAGTATGTGTACAAGTAAAACTCTGATCCTCTGGGCCAGATCACATGAGGCTGCAGCTCTCCGTCTGCTTTTTGAGGTCTTCCAGCGTGGCCTGGGCTTTGTCCTTCAGCTGGTCCATGTCCACGTTCTGGATGTTGGAAAGATGGCCAAACACCGACTGCTTGCTGGCTTCTTCCTGGCCGTCCTCTGCAATCATCTTGGCGAGTTCTGTGGGCAAAACCACGTCGTCGCCCGCCTGCTGGATCTGAGTCTCATCCGTCTCGTTCTGAGGGACAAAAGTCGGGTTAAAGGTCACCTATTATGCAAAATCCACTTCTTCATGTCTCTTCTACATCAACATGTGTCCCCTCTTCTTCATGTCTCTTCTACATCAACATGTGTCCCCTCTTCTTCATGTCTCTTCTACATCAACATGTGTCCCCTCTTCTT